CTTCACCACTGCTAAACTTAGTGCATGCTTGAACTTGTCCATTCACTGCTCCTGCAGAGCTAGAAGCACAAACAACCTGAAATATCAGAGGCCCTACAAAAACAATCAGTACTGAGCTTGACTGCACTGGACCACCAGAATTAGGGCTGTAGGTCTCCACTTGGGCAATTAACCCAGATTAACTACTGGAGTGAACATACACAATTCCATCATAATCACAGAATTCCCCTTGCTCTGTCCCAGAAAGCCTGCATGCCAAAGCCACCAGGTCCTGTTTCAAATCCTAGTGACCCAGTGAAACCCAGGGTTCTCAGGCACGTGGCACAGTTACAACCAAACTGGGAATGAGAGTGGACATTACATTTGATACAACTTAGGGTAAGGGGGAAAGGGGTGTTGTTACAGAATAGTGCAACAGGAGAATGATTGATAGCAGCAGCGTTTACATGAACTCCAGTCTGAGTAAGAAAAACAGAGATACAGACTGCAATGACTGGTTTTGATATTACCATTTTTGTTTAATGTCATCTCCAGTGCTCCGTTACTCCATTATAACACTATAAACAATCAGGATGACCCAAGAAATAACAAATGAAGCTCTTGATATTTTATCATCTGGATGAAAACAACTTACAGGTCTTTCCTCTTCCTAATAAAATTCTTGATAGTTTTACTTTTTTAATGTTCTAATTGGCTGCTAGTGAGTTCCTCTTTCTGCATTGCTTTGAAGAAAACCTGCTTATATCAGCAAACCACATTGGGCAGATAATATTTTGCTGATACAAAGAGGCAGTGCTTGAACAGAGCCTTGTTTATTTGCCTTTTCAATATTGTGACATTTCAGACATCTCCTTGCAGCCAAGCCGCCTGTGTGTGTCATTGTGTGGGGAGGCTGAGATCTGCCTGCCGAGCATTCCTGCCGCGGCTCCGGGGATGCTGCTCAGCTCCTGCACAGCCAAACACACAACGTGGGATGGTGGCATGCTGCTAAATCCAGCTGCTGTGTTTCGCCTTGGAGAAAGCTGCATTACACCTGCTGTGAGAAAGGATCCTCCCCCAGCTCTGCACACAGAGACCAGCCATCCTCACGGAACAGAGGGTCTGGCCCTGTTCACGCTCTGACTGAGGCACTGAGTGGCACAGGCATGGAATCAGAGGAGAGCACCCGCAGTCACTGGATAAAATGCAGCAGATGACCACTGGTGATTGAAGCTGAGAGACCAGGCACAGATCCTTGGTCCCTTTTTCCCTGCTCACATTGTAAGGGAGGGGGGTTCTTAGCAGTGGGGCCAGCACACAGCTGGGGTCATAACAGCCCAAGGGGGTACTGGGCAACTGCAAGGGTGATATGGGGAGAAGGGAAAGACACATCCTTCCTGCTTGCCAGCTGCAAACTTGGTGGCTGTTTTCCAGCCCAGCATGGCCACTGGGAGGGTGAGAGGTGTCTGCGTATCCACACTTCTCCACCTGATGCTTTGGGCAATTATTTATGCATGCACTCGCTGCAAATCCCATTCTGCTAACAGGCTCCAAAAGACTTTCCAGCAAGAAAAACACGGGCCTTATATCTGTAGATGTCTTTTACTGCACAGTGGAAGTGCCAGGAGTTATCCCTGCTACTCCAATAAAGAAGTGTCCTTTCTCAGCTCCTTTGGGGACTACAGCAACATTACTGAACTGTCCCCTCAGGACAGGATTCTGCAACCACCCCCAGCAAATCCATCAATGATGATGGAAGACCTCAAACAGCATCCAGGGAGCGTGTCCCAGTGAGCCACCAGCCTGTCACAAGGGTCAGCACTACTGACAGGTGATGTTCACATCACTCTCCTCATGCTCCTCCATTCTGCACTGTAGACAAGGGCAAGGAAACTAAATTCAAAATATTACAGGAGGTAGCTTTGACCCCACATGGTGCTCAGGTGCAAATGTCTCCCCAGGGTGAAAGACAACAGATAATTGGATTTGACAAGCAATTTACAGTAATGCTTTCATCTTTGCAGAGTTAATTCAATCTTTTCAATCCTATTTGCTGAAACATTGGCACTCACATGTATTCTGCTGCCATCATTTGACCCATGCTCAGGAGCAGATGTGATTGGTTGCACAATTAAATGATGCAGCAATACCCTAATTTAATTGAAAATCTGTGTTTACAGATATCCAGCCCTCACAGAAGCAGCACAGGGCTGACACTTGGCTTGCTGCTTTGGGTTCTGTTTGCTGTACTTCTTACACCTTTGTGGGGAAAAAAAAATCCTGTGGTATGATCAGCCTTACTGCCCAATTACTAAACTGAAAAACAACCTGACTACCAATTCAAGCACATGCAATGCTGAAATAGCACAGCCAAACTCTCCTTGGATTTGAATCCTTGGGACAGAGCAGCCTCTTACCGCCTGCAGTGCCTAATAGAATTTGAAAAGAAGTATTTTAAAAAATGCAGTTTCTACTAATGCTACAGCTCTCAAAACCACTGAGCCACTTCCCACAGAGACAGCCATTTGGGGAAGGGTGGGCTCTTTTTTAAAGAAACATGAAAATGGAGTAGTGAAATTAATTATCTCTATTCCTCCCTCCTTGCTCCTGGGCAGCCCCCTGGGTTTCCCCATGGGTCGTATCCAGTGTCACTGTCAATGGCAGCCACTGCAGCCCTGATTAAGTCATTACAAGTCAGCCCTTGTTCCTCCACTTCCAGTCAAGAGCAAAGGAGACACGTGCAGGCTTTGGAAGCCCTGAAGTGCAGCTCTGTCGTTGACACAGCAGGGTGAGTGGAGCTGGCAGAGACCTGTGGACTCCAGCTGTTTCAGACATGAGTGGTGGCCGTGAGTTGGCTGGGTTCTCTCTGATAATTGGCTTGGTTCTCTCCTAGAAGTGCCCCATGGGGATAAGCAGGGATATTATCAAAGAAGATTGATTATGCTAAGACCACCTTACCATGCATGATATCAGATTGCAAACCCCATGTTCAACCAGTACTAGGTTAGAAGTTCAAGCTTCCAGCAAGAATCTGGAAAGCACAAGTCATCCCAAGATCTGGAGTTAATTTCTCTTTGAGCAAGAATCTCTGCACATCAAGCCATAGATTTCCCAAAATGCAAGGGTTACCCAAATTCCCCCTTAGCGTTCATTTACTTTTCCAACTCTCTTTGCAGGCTTCATTAGAGCTGGAAACACAAATTTCTAGTCAAGATCCAAAGCAGTTTCCTTTGCCTCACCTAAGAGATGCTCAGGCATAATCAAAAATCCAGAGAGAGTAATAGGAGGGGATAAATAAAAAAATACCTATCACCTCTGGGAGTCTAAAAGCATGTCATGGCAGCCTGAGCACACAGGGCCTTCTCCCCATCTCACAGCTGGGAAACTGAGGCACAGATGGACACAGTGACACAGTACAGAGACATGGCAGGACTGTGGAAATCTCAAGTGAAGACCTCAATTTCTGTAACTCTGCACCTCACACTGCAAGAGCTACAGGCTGTTGTAGGGGGCTGACACTGCTCATGCAGTGTTGGCCCTGACAGAGATTCCTGGGAGGGAAAAGGGTTAAAGAAGGGAATTTTGTTACTTTCTTGTCGTATTTTCTCGTGGGGGGAGAAGCGTCATGCAAGCAGGAGTTTTCCACTGGCTAGGCCCCCTTGCACTTATCAATGGGACCTTTCAGGACTCACTCCCTGATTGAGACATCATTTCCTGTCCAACACACTAACCCCATTGATAACTCCACACTTGATGGGAACTTTTCAAACCTACCAGGAAAGGCCGGGAGACCCAGAACAACATATACATGAAAACAGAACTGGGGTGAAAAGAGAAAGAAGAGAGAAAAAGAAAGAAACAGTTTTGGCCACAATTTGCATGCTGACAAGAAATGTTTGTGACTACAGAGCTGTGCATCTTTGGCAGGTACAGCAGTCACAGAGAAGATGCTGACATTCTCTTACAGCAGTGGGACTGGCTGTAGAAATGGTCATATTTCACCTAAAAGGCCAGGAGTACCATAGTAACAGATGCAGCTTACAAAACAGCCTAGAAACTTCACGTTTGAAAGTACAATAAATGAAACAAAGAGGAGAAGAGACGAAACTAGAGCTCTTTCAGATAACCCAAACAAGAACACTTTTTTTCCTAATTCATCATACAAAAAAGCTCACTGTTACTTTTCAGGACACAGCAATGTACATCCTCAATATTGACTGTGAGGACTCACTTGGTATTGTAACATCAGCCCAGCTCCAAACACAAGTTCCAGTCCAAAAATCAACTTTTTCCTCAAAGTTCAAGAGTATCTCAAACCTCAGCTTTTACCCCAGGCAATTAGTTTTGCTGCCTACAAAGATACAAAAATATCAGTGGGTCTGGATTATTGCCAAACAGAACACCAGCCCCAAATCTCCCCCTAACCCATGCAGGTGCCTGGGAGCGCTACCAGAAATGAAGCAGCTGATTCCTGGTTTCAAAATCTGGTCAGCAGCTATCCAGCAAAAAAGCTTTCGATGAAATCTAAACATACAGGCACAGAATAGAGGAAAGGAGCTGTACAAAACAGCAGGAGCCAGGACACTGGCTGGCTAGGTAGATGGTTAAGAAGAGAGACTGGAAAGTTTCCACTGCAATCTCTGTTACTGAACTGCTGTGGGAGTGTCCAAAAGCTCTGTTGTTTTCAGTTTCTTGGGTAAGTAGTTTCTGGGGGCCCAAAATGTAGCACTCTCTCTGTTTTAAGTGCATCTGAAGTATTTAAAATTAGATCCCCTCTTTAATAGGAACCATTCATGAAAATGTCAGCTTTAAATGTCTTTACAGTGCAAGTTACTCACTGTGAGCATACCACCCACTTATCTTATACCCTACAAGGGCAGAGTCTGAAAAGTTTCAAGATCATGACATGTAACAGACCAAACAAGAACAAAGCCTTATTTAAAGGCACTGTTAACCCAGCTGGAAACATGACTAGAAGCATGAGTAGAAATAATATTTTATGTTAGACAGGACAGACTTACCTGCAGGTCAAAGAACTTGCTGTATCTCCGGTAGATGATCTGGGAAGTCAGGTCAGACCATGTTACATTGATGATATAGACCTGTTCAGGGAAAAGAAAACACAAATCAGCCTGGGCCAGAAAGCACAGGATACATGGAAAGGCAGAACAGTCAACATAGGTTAATTTCAGATCTCACTGGCTGTTCCACTCACAGTGGAATATAGCCCTGGGAGCAGGACTAGCCTAAATTAAAGCCTGTTGCAGCCTCCAACAGAAGTCTTGGGGGAGTATTCAGTGCTCTCCCACACATCCCCACCAGCAGCTCCCACTGACTTTGTTCTGCCTAGGATAAAAGCTCTAATTGAACGACACCACATTTTCTGGTCTGTGGTAGCACACCCTGCCTCCTGTCCTCTTTGGAGGGTCCCAGGGCCAGCTGCAGGCACAGCTGGGTGAGCTGTTCCACCCCTGGAGCAACAGCTCCTCATGGGATGCTGATCTCCAGCCCCACACTCCAGGTTGTCTTTGTGCATGGAGCTGGGGCTGCCACCCTTCCCAAGCAAGGAGTGGCTCCAGTTCAACAGGAAATCCAAAGGAAACGCAGCTCCCCAGGTGCTGTGGAATTACAGCCATGCAACACCATTGCTTACTCACACCCACACGTGTGACAGAAACCAAACCCTGCCACGGCACACAGCTCTTGCTGAGTCACACCAGGGGATGTAAGGCTGGACAGTGAGAGCGACACTGCTTCCTTGCATTGATGGAAACAGCTACAGAAACCTGGAACAAGCCCAGGATTTCCCTTGCCCAACCCTAGTCCATCCCCAAAACAATCCTCTTACAGAAACACCGTTTTGCCAGAAGCCATGATAAAAATGATTCGCACGCACACACAAACTTGTACATATACATATAAATACACACACAGACAAATGTGGCCTTTTGACACTGGTACTTCCAAAATATATTTTTTTAAAGTTACAAATACACCAGGTTCTGCTCTGTCATATACTTGCCCTCAGGACAACGCTGGTCCTGCTGCCTTGATGACAGATCACAACAAGACTTCAACAAACACAGGATGGAGCTATCAAGGCTGACCACGGACATCAATATAATGAAAATCATAGCTAGAACAGCTCCTGGACCTTTAAAGCAATTCCCAGGTTTCACATATTGACTGAGATAATGATCTGGCAGAGAGAACAGGAAAGCATTCCTCCTGCCTCAGCCACAGCATTGCAGCAGGAGATGTCCCTTTTGCCATGGATGCAGAAGTGAAGCTCTCTGTCTCCAGCAACAGGGGATGGATAAGCATCACCCTCTTCTCCATCTCCCCCAAGACACCAGACCATCTTCCAAGCTACTGATTCAATTGCTTCTGTACTTTTACCAATAAAAATATTGCATAAAAATCCCTGAAGGGGTGTTGAATATTGGGCTCAACAACACTTTTCCAAGGACCACCAATGGATGTTTTTTTCCCCTCTTCTTTCCCACTCGGAGAGGCATCCTCCCAGAAACCACAGAGATCCTGCAGCCATACTTTCCTCTCTGCTTGTTACAACCACATTCAGCCCCCAAGGCAGTCTGCCTCCCATCTCCTGCAGCCCAGTTTCATGGCATTCAATCACTGGAGATGCTGAGCACAGGCTGTTAAGGAGGTCTGGGGCCTTTCTCATGATTGCATCAAACATATCCACTCTTCCCAGCAAGGCAGAGACCATCAAGGCTGACAAAGGGAGTAAGAGCCTGACTCTCAGCAAACCCAGGTTGCTCTGCTGCATCTCATAATTCTCCTGGAAAACCAAACCACCTGACTCCTTCCTGCAATGCCCATATACACAGGGGTGACATCAGCACTGCCCTGCTGCACGGAGGGGAGATAAGCCTGAAGATTTCAGATCCCCTTTAAAGATCTTACCCATGAAGTCAAGGCAGAGGAGTCAGAGCCTGGGAAGGAAGCTGCTGTTGCCAATTTTCAGGCCGGCCACACTACACTGAAGAATATTTTTCCATGTGTTTGTTGTGGGAAAAAAAAAGTTTGTAGCTTCACTCTGAGCTAATTCACACACAAATATTTCTACTCATCCTCTATCCAACAGCTACTTTTGGATGGAAAACCCATTGGATTAAAAACAGATCTTGACAGATGGGAGCTGAATAGGCTCCAAAAGCAACTTCAGATACTGTAATTCTGGCCCTGAGTTCTCACAAAGGAGATGAGACAGGAGGAGAAACATATTGCACATGTAAATAAAGATTATAATTTTTCTTTCATTATGCATCTTTTCTTCAGAAACTAGAAACAAAACACATATGTCACAGACATCCAGGCACTTTGAATTTCACGGCACTTCGGGCTTCTCTGTGCTGTTCTTCAGAACCTAAAAAAACTGTGAGTTCCTGAAATTTTTAACAGCCTACAAGTCTGCTTGTTCAAAATCTAATCCAGGCAGAAGTCAATCCTGCTTGAAGATTCCAGTTTGATGGTGCAGTGAGTGGCACAACGCCTCCATGACACAAGAAGGGGCAGAGTTGGGTGCACAAGGATATTCTGGGCAAGAGGTTGGATTTATTTGGTGCAGGGAACAGGTGTAGGATCAGCACCCCACTGCATGATGCAGATACTTTCCCAGATCTGAAATTCAGGCTCTGTGGGAATGCAGCTGCCACTGACCTCAGTCAAGCCAGGATTTTGCTGCACATTTAGGACAGCAATTAAATATTGTTGAGTCTAAGGTCTCCTCAAGCTCAGTAAGTGATGGATGGGGCAGCATGCAGATACACTGACTTCTATTTCAAGGAAAGATTACAGCAGAAGCAAGAAAAGCCTTTAATCATAACCTGGTGCTGTGTGAAGTGAGAAACCAGTGGGCTCAAAATCTGCTTGGTGGGAGACAGGTGCAAAACCTAAAACAGCTATTGATCTTTTTTGCTCGTTTGCCCAAATTGCTTCCCAAAAGCCACCATTTAAAATAATGGGCTTTGGTTGAAAAAGATTTGTAAAATGGCAAATTATAAATGCAAGGTCCAGAGGTTTCAGAAGCCTTTGATATCACATTTCTCTCCCTTAGAGATCTGGAAGAGTTTAGAGAACTCCCTTAGAGTTTGGGAGTTATTTGCTTCTGCTGCCTTGGTCAGATGCATAACCCTTTCATGAGCAGCAAACATTACATCAGCTTACCTCAACATCTTTTTTTTCTGAGATCTTAAAATGGGTTGCTGTGAAAGTGATCAACAATGTCCCAAGAGAGAGGAAGAAAAGCAGTCCTGGGGGAGCCCAGGGTCATGCAAATGCAACAGGACAAGGAGGCAGCAGGAAATATCAGATAACAGAGCCAAGGGAAGGCTTTCTGTAGCATCCAGCAACTCCCCAAAACCAAGCCACACAAGCCACTACTCTGACATGCAGCTGGTCCTGCCCACAAGAGAGTCCTGCCTCCTTGGCACATTCTGCCTTGATAAAAGAAGATAAAATCAAAGTACCTTACATGTCTTGGAGCAAGCTCTTTCATGTAAGTACAGTATTTTCCTACGCACAACTAAACTGTAATTGAGATTCCAAATTACTACAGTAATTAATTACTAAAGGCAAAGAGACTTGCTTTGTGTATCTGCCATGTTTATAACTATAAAGGAGTCAAAACACAGATGTAATTCAAATGCTTCACCTTAAAAATCTTTAACAAAAGGTCCATAACAATGAATGAAAATTGAAGTAGAAATGACAAACAACTCACTGCACAATCACTGGGTGCTCCAGCAACTAAGAATGTTCACGTTTTAATTTCCCAAGTCCAGTCTTTTTTTGATGTACTATTGTATTTTAAAATAAATCCTTCTTCAGAGAAACAAGAAGCCAACTTTAAAGACTGTAGAATATTAATCAGGAACTGAGCTTGATAAGTAGTTTTTAATATTCATGGCTTGATGAAAGAAGGTGCAGGCTACTGTTCCAGCATATGTCACAGCTGAGACAGCCACGATACACAGAGTTTCACCATACAATGTCAGAAGGCTTCAACCCACACAGAGTAACACCTTACCATTTCTGAAGGCTGCAAGCATCTGCCCTTCTTGTTCTTTAGCCCAACCTTTTATCCCCTCATGTTGATGCCCTGCCCCTGTGTGCCCTCTGCTCCCTTTGGTGTTGGTCACTGCCCCTGGGCGCTCCATGGGTCATTGCTGTCAGTGCTGCTCACCTGCTGCTCACAGCTGTGCCCACTGGGGATGGGGCTCTCCCCATGCACAATCACCACAAACTGTGTGCCTACAAGGTGCCAGGGGGATTTTATCGGCTGCTAATTATTATTGTTTAATTCTAGCTCTGGGAAACTTCTTTAGCCACCATAGAGCAGAAAATTTATTGTAAACTGAAATACTCGCTCTCCCTTTACTGCCTACACAAGCAATGAGGAGAGATGACTTCCTATTACAAAACACATCCACTCTAACGTCACTGGGCATGACCTTATCTTTGACTGTCTTGTTTTCACTGAAAAATATCCAGTTCTAGCCAGCACAAACCCCAGAGGTAACAAATTCAGGTTATTCTCATGTGACCTATTTTTCAATTGTTTTTTAGAGGTTAATGTCTTGTTGTCTACAGCCAGATGAGCTGGAGTGGAAGACAAATATCTGAAACTGGTTGTCTGACGAGACCAAGATTAGAACATACACAAATACAAGAGCTATTGGCAAAGGGAAGATTGAAAAGCAGAAACCAGAAATATCCCTGCACACATTAGAGAGGGTGTTGTTAACCTCTAATAAGTAATTACAGTAAACACCAGCTATTAAGAGAGTTCTGTGAATGCAAAAGACAACGCTATGGTGCAGTTTGTGTGCAGACACCATCACAATATCCCCTTTTATCCTGGAAAATGCCAGCTTCTTCAAAGACTCTTGTTTAAGTGTTGGATGTTTGTCCTCCTATGAATCAGGTTTGAGCTGGAAAAGAAAGATACACCTTCTTCCCCTGTATTCAGATGCAATCACTGCCTGTGAGCTGGAAGCTTTCCACCAGCACAGCTCAGCATGTGAATGCTCCCTGCTCCACTTCCAGGCAAAGACAACTCAGCTCCTGCAAGGCT